ACTTAAAAACATAAAATCTACAGGTTCTTAAGTTTCTTACGGTAAGTTATGTTTTAGCTAACCGCCAACACTGTTTCTCATATAACAGGTTGGCCAAAATATTAAGTTAAGTTAAGTTACGGAAATTAAGTCTAGACTAACTGAGCATTAAGAATGCCGACCACTGGTGTATATTAATAATAATAGATTGGCGCTTACACGCATGTTACTGCTTGGTGGAGATTCTCCTCCGATTTGTGGCATGCGCCGACTCCGAACGGCGATTGTAGTTTTATGAGAAGCTGTTTTTATAACCGAGCGCACTTGTGCACAAGGGTATTATAACTTTGTTCACATAACGGTTGTTTGTAACAGGCAAAACGAATCGAGATAGATATAGACAAATGTATACATAAATGATCAGAATGAAAAGAGAAATCGATTAAGCGGTGACTGTCTGTCCGTCCGTCNTCTCAACGAAATTTGGTATGTAGGTTGCGCTTTATCCAAGGTAGGTTGGTATTGAAAATGGGCGACATCAGACTGTAACCACGCCCACTTCCCATATAACGGTATTTTCGAAAAATGCAAAAACTACGATATTTCATTAAATATTGCACCCAATTGCTGAAAATTAGTAGGTGAGGTTAGATTTTGTTAAAAAATAATATTATTATGAAATTTTTGGAAAATGGGCGAGGCACCGCCCACTTATGATGAAATGCTGTATCTCAGTAGCCACTTCACCAATCCTTACAAAACACGGTACGAGGCTTGGGTAGGGTCTAGCTAAGAAATCTGTTGCAAATCTTTGAAATCGGGTGATAACCACGCCCACCTGCCATATAACGGTAATTTACATAAACACGAAAATTGCGATAAATCAGTAACTACTGGAGCTAATTCACTTAAAATCGATGATTGCAATACTCACTTAGCACAAAACTAGAATANCGCCTATCATAAAATTTTGAAAAACGGGCGTGGCACCGCCCACTTATGATCACATATATGTATCTCGGTAACCGTTCTACCAATTTGTACCAAACTCGATATGGTTATTGTTCTTGCCATATAAAAGCAAAACGTTCAAAATTATTGAAATCGGACTAAAATTACGGCTTTTCATATAACGGTAAATTTTAGAAATGCTTTAAACGTCAATATTTCGAAATTTAAGGACGCTAATTTATTCAAATTTGATACACCCCGGCTTACCATCTAGCGGAAGGTTTCGGAAAGGTGAAAAAACATATATTTAATACGTGCGCCGGGTATTTAATGTTCGGCTCCGCCCGAACTTAGACTTTCTTACTTGTTCATAATACACTTGGAGGTTTGCCGTTGTCTGCCGAGGGGCGTCAGCTATTAGAAAAAACTTTTTTGATTTTTTAGTTTTATACCCGAGCGCACTTGTGTACAAGGGTATATTAAGTTTGTTCGCATAACGGTTGTTTGTAACATCCAAAACGAATCGAGATAGATATGGACAAATGTATACATAAATTATCAGAATGAAAAGAGAAGTCGATTAAGCCATGTCTGTCTGTCCGTCTGTCTGTCCCTGTACACGACTTGAGCAAAAATTGAGATATCTCAACGAAATTTGGTATGTAGGTTGCGCTTTATCCAAGGTAGGTTGGTATTGAAAATGGGCGACATCAGACTGTAACCACGCCCACTTCCCATATAACGGTATTTTCGAAAAATGCAAAAACTACGATATTTCATTAAATATTGCACCCAATTGCTGAAAATTAGTAGGTGAGGTTAGATTTTGTTAAAAAATAATATTATTATGAAATTTTTGGAAAATGGGCGAGGCACCGCCCACTTATGATGAAATGCTGTATCTCAGTAGCCACTTCACCAATCCTTACAAAACACGGTACGAGGCTTGGGTAGGGTCTAGCTAAGAAATCTGTTGCAAATCTTTGAAATCGGGTGATAACCACGCCCACCTGCCATATAACGGTAATTTACATAAACACGAAAATTGCGATAAATCAGTAACTACTGGAGCTAATTCACTTAAAATCGATGATTGCAATACTCACTTAGCACAAAACTAGAATATTATAAATTTTTGTATAATAGTCGTGGCGCCGCCCACTTATGACCTCAAATGTGTATCTCGGTAACCGATTTATCAATTTCTATCAAACTCGATGCACTTAAAACCTTGGTACGAAAAAGCAATTTGTTGAAAATTATTCAAGTCGGATTAAAATTACACCCGCTTCCCATATAACGGTAAATTTCAGAAATACGGAAACTCCGATATTTCAATGAGGACGCTAATTTACTCCAAGTTAATAGTTACAACAATCTCTTAACAATAAATAAGACTCCTATAGACTTTTAGGAATTGGGCGTAGCACCGCCCACTTTGTAACTACAAAGGTGTACCTCGGTAACAACTTTATCGATTTGTACCTAACAAGGTTCAATTATATCATTAAGTCTAACTGCATATTATTGGAAACGTTTGAAATCGGGTAAACATCCCTACTTATAATGCAAAGGTAGTTCAGGGAAAGTTGAAACGACGATATTTGATACCTGCGCCGGGTATATAAAGTTCGGTTCCGCCCGAACTTATACTTATTAACTTGTTTGTTGTTAGGTTCGGCTGGGCTTGCTCCTAGGCCCTGCGGAGTGGTAGCGCGCACTGTTAACCACTACACCACAGCGGCCACCGTATATATTGTGTGTATAGAAATTTGCGATAATGTTTTTAATTTTATCTCTTTGATTTGTTTTAAATAAAACTGTATTAAATGATGTTATGTCTTAATAATAATAATAATAATAGCCGTGTTTTATTTGTCCAGAAATTTAAGCTATTAGCTTATTTTGTACGGAGGACTTACCCAACATAATTATATTGGCTTATGAAAAGCTATCTTGGCTTGTATATTGAACGAGAGGCATTGCCATTCAGCATCAGAAATTTTCTCCTTCAGCCAATCAGAAAGAGGCAAAAACTTACTTTGACACTATTTGCAGTCAAACAACTGTCAAAATTAGGCTAACATAGGAAATAAGCTAATTTCGTTTTATTTGACCAAGATTTAACTATTTGATTGTGATGGTTGAATAAAACATGCCTAATAATAATAATAGATTGGCGCTTACACATATGTTAGTGTTTGGCCGAGCTTCTCCTCCGACTTGTGGTGTGCGCCTTGATGTTGTCACACAAAGCGGAGGGATCTACAGTTTTACGCCGACTCCGAACGGCGATTGTATTTTTATGAGAAGCTGTTTTTCATGGCAGAAATACACTCGGAGGTTTGCCATTGCCTGCCGAGGGACGACCGCTGTTAAGAAAAAACGTGTTTCTATATTTTTTTAGATGTTGCTTTGACCAGGGCTTGAACCCAGGAGCTGATGAGTGAAAGCGCACACTGCTTACCACTACACCACAGCGGCCGACTTATGTCTTATTATTCTAAAAACAAAATTCTTTGTTCGGATTCGTTGATTTAGAAATGTCCCGATTTTTGGCCACAGAAATCTGGTCACCCTACTTATAAGACTTTTAGCAGTTCTTGTTAAAGGCCCTTCAATGTTGTTTGATATACTACTTAACCGTTTAGCGCCTGAAGCTAAAAGCCGGTTATTGTCCGCACCCTGGGTAGACAGACTTATAGCAATTTCAACAATATTAGAGTGGACTCTCTGCCCATGTACACATTCGCATTCGCAAAACATTCGTATCATTTGATGCTAATGCGAATGTCGAATGCGAATGTGTAAAATGATGCGAATCATTCGCATAACGGGTGCGAATGCTAATATTCGCAACATCCCTGGTATGTACACACAGATAAATATATATGTACTAATATGCAAAGACACTCGTAAGCACTGAGACGAATTTTCGTTATCTACGGTGATGTGTGTTGTTTTTTCTAGGTCAAAGTGCACCCATTAATTTCAATTTCATCGTTCAAAGCCAGATTTGAATGCAACTGATGGCGGCCAACGAAGTGATTCGCTCTATTTCCAGCAGTCCACGACCGAGTTCCTTATCACAATGTTTTCCCGATTTCTCCTTAAAAAGCTCAAACATTCATTCGTGAGTACATATACATACATTAGAGTGGTTCATAAAAACACTCTTTTTGGAAATTCATAAACGCTACATCAGAATATTGTTATTTGTGATAAAAAAGAGACATGTATTTTTTTATTTTGAAATAAAGTTTTTGTATAGGTCGCGCTGGCCGGCTTTTTATAAAAACGCCGATGTTCTGAATTTTTTTATTTTCTTGACATGTAAAATGCAGCTAAAAACGAGTTTTAACACTTGACAATGTTTAAAACGTTCAGTATCAACGTTTTAATTTGAGTACTTTTTTTAATTCGATCGCCATATTGGATCCGCCATCTTGGATTTAAAAAAATTGACTTCAGATTCGTAATCGGCGACCCCAAAAACTCTCGAGTGCCGGGTTTCGAACAAATCCAATAATTAAAAAAAAAATATGGACCGCCATTTTGGATCCGCCATTTTGAATTTCGAAAAACTGACTTCGGATGCCTAATTAGCAACGCCAGAAACCCCCTGGTAACAAGTTCCAACCCATGACAATGCGTAAATCGTTCAGTATCAACGTTTTAATTTTACTAGTCTCTTTTCGAGAGCATATTTTCGGGCACTAGGCCCATTCTAACTGCCCAAGACTGGTATGTAATTAAGGGAATTTTCCCCAATAATACCAGAGTAATTATATGTAAGAACCACATTTTTAGCTGCATTTTAACATGTCAAGGAAATAAAAATATTGAGAACATCAGCATTTTTATAAAAAGCCGACCAGCGCGACCTCTAAGAAAACTTTTTTTTTGTCAAAATAAAAAACACGTTTCTCCTTTTTTATCACAAATAACAATAATTTGAGGTAGGGTTTATGAATTTCCAAAAAAAAAATTTTTTGAACCACTCTAACATACATATTTATATACATGTAAGTATAAATAAAGAAGAGCCGATTTTTGAGAAGTGAGTTGTAAATCTTAAAAGCATATGCTTTTGGAATCATTAATAAGAAGTGGTCGACTTCGAGCAGACGTTCAAGTGCCTGGGGTTCTATAAAAAGTGAAATTAATAAATTTAGTCGCCGAAACCAAGTGAAAAACAAACATGAATATATACGCAGCCATAATTTTGGCGTTCTGTGTCTGTACTGTAACAGCAGGTAATTTAGCTCTACCCCTAGAATAACTTTAAAAAAATTATGAACAGTATTGTATGTATTAGAGTATTTTACGTATAGAATATGCGCAAAGTCGTTAAGCTTAGCGATGTATTGTTATTTTATGCTTTTGGAACAGAATTCTGATTTTGGCAAAGTAAATCGATCGGACCAGCCTATCAAAAATTTTCTAAAATTTATCTGAACTGATCGGACAAAATAGTGATAGAAATATATATATATTTTTTAATGGAGAAGATTACTACATATGGAATAGGGGAAATATTGCCATTGAGCCACAATTACGTCTTGACCTAAAAAAAATTGGTCAAAAGTAGTGTTCTTCGAAAAAAAACATGCAAAATCCACAGGATTTATTCCAAAACAAAAAATGTATATACTTTTTATTATACTAGTATTATAGATTTTAAGACGAGAAACACGATTCCACTGTTCACAATTCGAAAAAAAGGTCAACCACTCAATTTTTAATATGCATTATAAAATTGTGTGACGGATGTACAGCTGCATGCAAATCATAAATAATACAATATATAATTCATTTTTCAAATTGAGGGGTTGACATTTTTGTCGTTTTTTAAACAGTGGAATCGTGTTTCTCGTCTCAAAATCTATATTATTAGTATAGTAAAAAGTACAAAAAATGTTTTTTTTTAATATATCCGTTGGATTTTGCATGTTTTTTTTTCGAAGAACAATATTTTTGACAAATTTTTTTAAGGTCAAGGAGTGATTGTGGCTCAATGGCAATATTTTTTCTTAAAATGCAATTATATTAGCTTTCAAAGCCATTTTGTTCGGTATCAAAATATTGCTTCTGTCGAAAGCGCTACGATTAATTGGCATGAAGTGTTAAAAAAGCACACTGTGTGCCGTCGAATTAGCTCGAATATCTTATTTTTCAGTAGAGAAATGTAATTTTGAAACTTTAAAATTACTTCTCAAAAACATATGATTTATAAAAATATAATTCATTTATAAACAATAATAAAACAAGTAATTTTTAGCAAAACAGAACGACTTAAAAAAAAAATATATTTATACCTATATATGATCCAATGATCGGATCTAAACCGTATTAGTATGGGACACCTCTGAGACACTACCTTTCCGATGCAAAAAGAATTGTCGAAATCGGTTGACGTGGTGCAAAGTTATGCGGTAAAATACATTAAAAAAAAATTCCGACGAACTGATAACCTTCTTCTTTTTGGAAGTCGGTTAATAAAATAAAATGTCTTTCATATAAAATTTTTGTTTCTCATTTCGCGCCCCCCTCTACTCCCACCCTCGATGTACATTTTTTTTTTTTTATAATATAAGATTGACAAAAATTGTTATGGCAGTTTTCTCAACGTCATTCAGTAAGTAATCCACAGTAATTACCATACAATAAAACGAAAGAAATAATTTGTTTATCTGACGACGACCAAATCGAATATTTTGAGATAGGGTGTTTTTCTATTAAATTCTGAAATAGGGCGTTCTTGAAAAGTTTTTTTAGATAGAACGTTTTCGAACTGGCTGCCGAGATAGGTCGATCTTCCACTCAGCCATTGATATAACAATTTTAGATTGAATTTCGAGTTTGCCAATACAAATTGTAAAAATGGAATTTTAGTTTCTCAAATCATATTCATCTTTTACTCAATGTAATTTTTTTTCATTAGGTAACACAGTAGTAGATTCGTTCGTTTTGTCGAGAAGAACATTTGAATTTTTTAAAATTACTACAGTTTAAAAGAATCGTAAAGTTCCGCATGCTGTCATTTTTTCGGTACTTTTTCGTCTAAATAAACGTTTTAAAACTATATTCACATTACAGCGTAAATTACTTTGTTTCGATCAAATTACTTCACATAAATCAAGTAAGTTCACATTTTCTTTCATAATTTGTACGTACGGGTGTCTAGTTTGTACTTGATTTCAAAAAACAAATGGTTGCATACCTTTAGGCATTTTTTCATATTTCCTCAACAGGGAACGCTTAAATAAATGAAAAATCTTTTTTTTCTTCATTCTGTTCTTGATTTATGATAAACTAGCAGACCCGGCGAACTTCGTCCGCCCAAAATTTATTTTTTTATTGAAACATTTGGTCCAACGTTTTCGTCAGCAATTCAAGTTCACGTTTGGTTTGTGGTGACGGAAGGAGAATCGTCCTTGAATCTGTATAGTATAGTTAGTGGCAATTTCCAAACTGGTGAGTATCATTGATCCACATTCTGTTTAGTCAACGTAAAGCAAGGACCGCAATGGTTCTGGTGGTTGATTTAACGGGGGTAATTTGACTTTGATCTCTGGTGCCTCCGAATTGACGATTTTTAGCAATAACTCGGCTCCAGTGCCACCTTGCGCATCTTTTTTTGCAATAGTATTGCCCCTATCGTTACCAATACATATATATCCCGAATATGAGTCAAATCGGATCACAAATAGGATTTTGAGTAATAACTCGACTCCAGCGCCACCTGGCGTTTTAAGTTGTGAACTTAAACTATACAGGGACCTACTCAAATACATAAAACATGTCATTAAAATCGTTTCGGTAGTTTAGGACGACTCCACCCACCAGAATAAGTCTTTTATATACTGACACCTTTCGGCATTTTTGCCCATACAAAAAAATCTATCACGCATTCGTCATATGGAGAAAATGCGCAACATCATCATCGAAAAAAATTCTCAAAAATCAACGATAACTTATAGCCATTAAAAACTTGCACTTTGTTATACTGAAATTGAGTGAACTACAAAACTGCATACTCAAAATTTAGTGCTATTTGATGCAAAATGAACAATATTTCTATAAAAAGTTAACAAAACATTTATAATGAAAAAGAAAAAAAAACACTGTATTCTGGGTGTATACATATATTTACAGATAGATAAAAGTTTCAATATGTTTGGAAAGCGCCACGTTCCCTTTTCCAGTAGCCCCAAAATCTCTATACCAATTTCCAGGACACTACTACAAAATTTCCAGAGATATACACTATGAAAAATTCGATATGTATGGGTAATGCCACTCTCCCTTAATATGTATATCGAAAGTCTGCAGTAGGTATCCAAATTTCGGTACAGCCACTCGCGAGATCTTCTTCTTTATTGGCGCTGTAACCACCTAAGCGATTTTGGCCGAGTCCAAAACAGCACGCCAGTAATTTCTCTTCTATGCTAACTGACGCCAATTGGAAATGCCAAGTGAAGCCAAGTCCTTCTCCACCTGGTCTTTCCAACGCAGAGGAGGACTTCCTCTTCCTCTGTTACGAGCAGCGCGGCCCGCGTTGAATATTTTCAGAGTAGGAGCGTTTCTGTCCATTCGAACGACATGGCCAAGCCAGCGGAGCCGCTGAATTTTAATTCGCTGCACTATATCTATATCGTTGTAAAGCTCATACAGCTCATCGTTAAATCGTCTGCGATATTCGCCATCACCAACGCGTAAAGGTCCGTAAATCTTTCGCAGAATCTTTCTCTCGAAAACTCCAAGAGCCGCCTCATCAGATGCTTTCATTGTCCATGCCTCCGCGCCATACACCAGCACAGGCATGATGAGTGACTTATAGAGTGTGATCTTTGTAAACCAAAGAAATATATTTCTGCCGAAACAACAAAATTTGAATGTACATTCATAGATATGTATGAATGTATGTACATATGTAAATAAATAAATGTAAGCAATTGCAAGGCATATTTAATAACATGATACAAAAAAGAAGGTAGTTTCAATAAACAACTTTTTGATTAAAAATGAGATTTTTGACAATTGCTCAATTGTAAAAAATTTTAAGCGGCGTTACCAAATTTAAGTTTTTTAGTGAAGGGGGTTTTATATCCTAAATTTGGGAATATAAACAAAATTGTTGTATTAACACTTATCTCTTAAAAATAATTAATATTTTATCTTAAAAACGTTCAAGTTTTACATTAAATTCGATAACTATTTACTTGCCAAAATCTTTATTTTTACATTAATAAAATTGTGGTGAACATATTTTAACAATTTTTTAGTATCATTATGTCATCTGATTATTACACAATATAGCTAGCCAGGACTATTACAGTTTTCTATATCGGATACGATTGTTTCTGATATAATTGAGACACTGAAATTACACATTTCGATATTGTCTTTGTCCATGTCTTTCAAGTAACTTGATTTACGGATTTACTTTGGAACCCATAGGCCTCATTACTTTAAGAGAAGTGAATCTTAGCCAATTCTAGTAAATTTCGACAATATCGTTGTTTCTTTGGGTAAAAATAAATTGAAAAATGGGGTATAGTCATCATTTTGACAGGGAGAATGTAAACTCGGGTTACGCTAACCACAGGATTTTTGCGCAAAATACGTTTCCACGTTGTAGGCTTTCGGCAGCGGTTCGAAAAAATAACCCTCATCAGTCCGGCTACGCTGACCACCGTATTTTTTACAAAAAGATCCATATTTCAAACCGAAGTTATTCATTAATTTATATCTGAAAATTTGAAATCTCTATTTTAAACTAACGCTTAATTGTTTGACAACACGTGTGTGTTAAAATGTTTTGCTTTGGGTTAAGCGTTTGGACACAATAACCCAAAATTATTGTATAAATAACCTAGCCGTACCCAACAAAATACCTTTTGCTTGTTCAAATTTCGATTGTAAATAAACAAAAAATTAATAATAATAATGGAGGATTTTCGATATAGGATAAGGTAGCACGAAATGTCACAATCTACTTAATTGTCAGGTTGTTAATATGGCGACGAAAAAGTGACAATGGAACTACCTTCTTTTTTGTATCATGTTTAATAAGGTAGAAGTGACAATTAGCTCGAACTCTCTTGTAGCTAGTTATAGTGTCAAAAACTGTAAACAAACAAATTAACCCTATGACGTACGAGTGCTATGTTTGCTAAAAATTAGCATCAATTGAAACTCATCATGATGAAATTATACTAGGTGTAGTAATAAGAGCGTGATGACCCTATGA